CTTTCCTTTCCTTTCCTTTCCTTTCCTTTCCTTTCCTTTCCTTTCCTATTTATTTAGTTCCTTTCCTTCTTTTCCCTTCCCTCTCCTTCTCCCTTCCCTTCCTTTCTTATTTATTTAGTTCCTTTCCTTTCCTTTCCTTTCCCTTCCTTCCCTTTCTCAGTTTTTCATTCCTCTTTCTTCCTTCTTCCACCTGTCCTTTGCTCAACTTCTTCCCTTCCCCTTCCCTTTCACATCTATTTACTTCTTCCCTCACTCCCTCTTTCCTTCCCTTACCCCTCCTTTCCCCTTTTCCTTTCCTCCCCCCCACTTTCTTAATCCTTTTCTCTCTCCCTTCTCCATCCCCCAGCCCCTTTCTGACACCCAGCCTCCTGGTGTTCTCCCATCCAAATAATAAAATAATAAAATTTTTCCACTGTTGTAGCCGTCCTCAGAATTTAGACACTTGGCAACCGACTCATATTTATGACGGTTGCAATACCCCAGAGAGGGACGTCACACGATCCCCTTTTGCGACCTTCTGACGAGCCGTACAAATTTGGGAAGCCAGATTCACTTAACAACTGTGTGACTCACTTAACAACCTCAGTGATTCACGTAACCACGGTGGCAAGAAAGGTCGTCATAATGGGACAAAATTCACATTAGCGACTGTCTTGCTTAGCAAAGAAGTGTAGGGATCCGCTGTGGTCGTAAGTCGAGGACTACCTGCATTTGTTCCCCCCCTGGCTATTGAGGATTCCCAGGAGTTTATTTTCCTCTTGCAGGTTCCACCTGTGTGCCATGAAGGGGAACGTGGACTGCTTGGAGGTGATGTTGGCCCATGGGGCGGACGCTCTAACCACCGACGGTTCAGGTGAGAATATTTTTACGAGTGGCCAAAGAAGCAGGCTGCTTGATTGGAGTGGAAATCACGGACTTACCTGTCGGTTGGCCCGGATGGAGCTGTCACACGCTACCTTTGGAGATACAGGTAGTCCTTGATTTGCAACATCCTTGGAAAGGCAAGTAACCCCGTGTTTGTTGTCTTCTGATATTCTCCAACCTAGGTCACACTGCGTTGCACCTCTCGGCAAAACACGGCCACCCCCAGTGTGTCAGCAAGTTGTTGCAGGTAACAGAAAGCTGCTCAGTTTTACACACTTTACAAGCAGAATTGTGAGTTGCCTTCTTCCAGGATGTCTTTTTACTTATTTGTTTTTAATTTTGTCTTATTTTATCTTTCTCTTTCTTTTTCAAATAAAATGGGTTTGACCAGGGTTAAATAAATAACTAAGGTTATATAATAGATGGATAGGTAGGTAGGTAGGTAGATAGATAAGCATCAGACTCCAACTTTCATTGAAGGGTTGATCCTAAATTTTTTCTCTCTCATCTCTTAAGTCTTCCTGCCATGTTGATGTAGCTGATAGCCAGGGAAGGACTGCACTCCATCACGCAGGTAAGTTCTAGACCAGACTAGGTTCGTCTTCTGGACACAAGGCCGGGTTTGATTTGATTTGAGTTTATTCGATTTGTCAATCGCTTACAAGATAATCGGTATAAGTATATACATAGTTATGAATACATGAAATGGGTACATATAAGGAAAATAAAAGAAACAATAGGACAGGGACGGTAGGCACGTTGGTGCGCTTATGCAGGCCCCCTACAGATCTCTTAGGAAAGGGGTGAGGTCAATAGTGGACAGTCTAAGGTTAAAGTTTTTGGGGTTTGGGGAAGAAACCACAGAGTCAGGCAGAGTATTCCAGACATTGACCGCTCTGTTGCTGAAGTCGTATTTCCTGCAATCAAGTTTGGTGCGGTTAACCTTGAGTTTGTATCTGTTGTGTGCTCTTGTGTTGTTATGGTTGAAGCTGAAGTATTCATTGACAGGTAAGTCATTGCAATGTATGATTTTATATACTATACTTAGATCGGACCGAAGGCGGCGTAGTTCAAGGTTTTCTAGGTCTAGAATTTCAAGTCTGGTGGCATAAGGTATTCTGCAACGAGTAGAGGAGTGGAGAACTCTTCTTGTGAAATATTTCTGGACTTTCTCAATTGTGCTAATATCAGATACGTACTGTGTGTTCCAGACTGATGAGCTGTATTCAAGTATTGGTCTAGCAAATGTTTTGTATGCACTAGTTAGTTGTGCGATATTACCGGAGAAAAAGCTACGTAGGATTAGGTTAACAACTCTTAACGCTTTTTTGGCTATGTAGTTATAGTGGGCTCTAGCACTTAGATCATTAGAGATGAGTTCTCCAAGGTCCTTGACAGAGTTTGGATCCTCAACAAGATCTTGACTATTCAGCTTGTATTTTATTTTCTGATTTTTTCTTTTACCGATAGGTAAGACAGGGTTCTTGGCCAGACCCTGTCTCCCTGAAAGCACCTGCTCATCCCACCGGATCGGATAAAGCAGGGACCCCCCCAAACTTAGCAACTTTTAAGACTTGTGGTCTTCAACTCCCAGAATTCCTGGGAGGAATTCCTGGATGTTGAAGTCCACGAGTCTTAAAGTTGCCAAAGTTGGCGACCCCTGAGATGGAGTAACCATATTCCAGGTCCTTTCCTTTAATGGGTGCCATCTGGTGGGGATGTCAGAACCTATTTTTTTTTTCCTTCCTGTGGCAGCTAATGTCCTGGGGAACTCCCTTCCTCTTGAGATTTAGCAGTCTCCTCACCGTTAGTTTTCTGAGAAGGCATAAAGAGCTGGTCTTCGGACACAACGGGAGGTTGGAGCCTGAAGATAGTGCTGTTGAAGGAGAACGGCTGGGCTGTCGGGTTTCCCCTCCCGCCCCGTCTTGTTTTTAATTGTTTTGGGGTTTTTATTGTCGTTGTGGGATGCCCAGGGTTGTGTCTGTCAAGTTGGGTGGCCCTCTGATAAGACCGCAGAAAGAGTGCAGAGAAGAGCCACCGAGATGATAAGGGCTCTGGTGGCTGAACCACAAGATGCAATATTCCAAGCGTCATGTTATCAAAGCTCTTTAAAATGGTGCTATCTTGATATTATTTCTGTGTTGAAGCAGCTTTTGAGGGTGTTTTTTGGCCATTGCAGCACACCGCTGGCTCATACCTGAAGCTGTTTCCCTTGCTCAGGCCGACAAATTGCATCCTTTCCCCGTGAAGTTTAAAAATTGTAGCACGCTCAATTTTACCAGATGAAGGAATGTCTGAAGTTTGAAAAGGGCAGGACTAACTTACAAAACAACCCCCAACAATTAGGAGCGCAGGGGTGGCGGCGGCAGTGCAGTGGTGAGAATGCAGCGTTGCAGGGTAATTCTGCCCACGGTCAGGAGTTCGATCCTGACCAACTCAAGTTTGACTCAACCTTCCTTCCTTCTGAGGTCGGTAAAATGAGGACCCAGATTGTTGGGGGGACGTAGGCTGACTCTGTAAACTGCTTAGAGGGGGCTGTGAAGCACCGTGAAACGGTATATAAGTCTAAGTGCTCTTGCTATTATCGGTGAAAGTGGATGGGTTCTCGTTTGGTTTATTTTTCGGTGAAATCACGTTTCAGTTAAGAACGTGATTCGATTCTCTCTTTTTGCCGCCCCGCAGCCATCCATGGGTCTATCTCTTGTTTGGAAATCCTTTGTGACTTCAAGGCTTCCTTGAACATCAAGGACCAGGTAAGAGTCCTTTTGTTTTTCTCTTTCTCCCATCCTCCTCCTCCTCTCCTTCCTGTTTTCTATGCTTTTCTTTCCTCTCCTTCGTATCTTTCCTTTCTTCTCTTTTCTCTCCTCTTCCACTATTTCCTTCTCTTCCTCCTCCTTTCCTTTTCTCCTTCCCTTTGCTTTTTGCCTCTGTTTCTTCTCCTCCCTTTTTTTCCACTTCCTCCATCTCCCTTTATCCTTTCTTCTTTGCTTCCTCCTCCTCCTCCTGTTTCCGCTTCTCCTTTCTTCTTTTCCCTTTTTGCCTTCTTCCTCCTGTTTCCTTTTCTCCTTTTCTCCTTTCCTCCTCCCACCCTTTCTCCCATAACCTTCAAGGAAAGGGAGAACGTCCATGAATGTTGATATTTTACATGGAGTGGTGACGAAGGCGCAGATGTTTTAACTGACCAGGTATTGTGTGCCCTACTTTCTCCCGGCAGGATGGGGTAAGCCCTCTGATGCTGGCAGCCAAGATGAACCATGCAGAACTCTGCCGCTACTTGCTACACCGAGGAGCTGCTGTGAACACCAGAGACCAGAAAGGCCGGTGAGAAAACTGGTGGAAAGCCAGGAGTTTGTCTCTCTTCTTCTAAGTGACAGGATGCTCCAATCTCATTATATTCGTTTACTTGAGATAAGCCACAGTGATAACTGTCGTGTCTGCGCGGATGCGGACACGCAATTGCCCACCGTGACTAGCGCGGGAAATCCTAATGAGTTGATTGGCTAACAGCATGGCGGGCAAACCCTATATAAGGGCGCCCTCCAGCCGTTACTGTTGTTGCAGTCGAGTTGGTGTTCTATGCTTACCAGTAAAATTTTGTTGCGGATCTATTGAATCTGGCTAGTTATTGCGGTGACCTCACAACTGGCGATGAAGGTAGGATTGCCGGATAGAGTCAGCCTTGGATCGCCGCAGGATGCAGCACTCAAAAGCCAGCTGATTGGAGCTGGACCAGAACTGTGGGAACAGCTGCTGATCAACGAGGAGAGAGCCTGCTGACCGGAAGAGGCAGAACCGCTGCTGATCAGGACAGCTGATAGCACCCTCAGAAGTTGCATCGCTGCAGGAGGGCCAGCTGACCTGGAACCATCACTGGATCGCCAGCTGACCTGGAACCATCACCGGATCGCCGCAGAGGCATCGGAGGCCCAGAGAAAGCCACCGCCAAGCCACGTGAGTCAGCTGGCCGAAGGACCATTGTTGCAGGACAACTCAGGGCAGCCCAGGACAGCCCAAGGTCGGGGCCCCTTGTCAGACCACCAGGGGAAGTGTCCGGACAGCACCCAAGGGGTCACCTGAAGGAAAAGAGGGCAAATACTCAAAAATTCACTCCTTTGGACCCTGAATTAGAAACATGGGGATCTTATCTAATGCAATTTGATTGCAGTTTGAAAGCTAATGATTTTACCAACATCACAACCGAAAAAGAGCAATATTCCTTCGCAACTGGGGCAGAGACTTCGTGCCATCATTGTTCCAGACCCCCTGCAGACAGTCCCGTGGGCCGTGCTAATACAAAAGCTCACCCAACATTACGCTCCCAAACTTTCCTGCGTTGCAAGACGGCACACATTTTACTGGAGAGACCAAGCGGAGGGGAAACCCATAAATCATTACATGTCAGCACTGCCGCAACGCTGCCTTAGATTACCAGTTCCACGACCTGGACGAGGCCCTCCGGGACCGGTTCGTGAGCGGCATGAGGGATATAAGACTACGAAGGCGCCTACTCACCAGGGCCACCCTAACGCTAAACGAAGCCCTAGACGAGGCCATCACCACAAAGCCGTCAGGGCCAAGGCGCGACAGAGAAGGAGAATATAAGACAGCGTGGTGCATGGGGTGAGGGGGAAACCACCCGAGGGTGGCGTGCCATCATAAGAACACAGTCTGCAGGTGGCGCCGTGCAGCCTTCCACGAGTCAGATAATAGATAATCAGAGTTTAGAAGGGACCTTGTAGGTCACCTAGTCCAACCCCCCCCCCCGCTGCCCAAGCGGGAGACCCTACACCATTTCTGACGGATGGCAATCCAATCTCTTCTTGAAAGTCTCAAGTGATGGCGCTCCCACAACTTTCAAGGGCAAGTTGGTTGATTGTTCTCACTGTCAGAAAGTTTCTCCTTATTTCCAGGTTAAATCTCTCCTTGTTCAGTTTCCATCCATTATTCCTTGCCTGGCCTACAGGTGCTTTGGAAAATAGCTGGACCCCTTCCTCCTCTCTGTGGCAGCCCCTCCTCAAATATCGGAAGACTGCTATCCTGTCTCCCCTGGTCCTTCTCTTCACTAGACTAGCCAGGCCCAGTTCCTGCAACCGTTCATCATATGTTTTAGCCTCCAGTGTCCCCTCATCATCCTGGTTGCTCTTCTCTGCACTTTTTCTAGAGTCTCAACATCTTTTTTATAATGTGGTGACCAAAACTGGATGCAGGACTCTAGGTGTGGTCTTACTAAGGCTTTATAGAGTGGTATTAGTACCTCACTTGATCTCGATTGTATCCCTCTTTTAATGCAATTTAGGATTGCATTGGCTTTTTGGGCTTCCCCTGCACACGGCTGGCTCCTATTTAGCTGGTTGTCCACTAAGACTCCAAGATCCCTCTCCCAGTTCCTACTATTAAGCCTGGTTTCACCCAGTCCATATGTGTACTTTGGGTTTTTCTTGCCTAAGTGCAGGACTTTAATTTTCTTGAATCCACAACCACCAACACAGAAAAAGGCAACTTAGGCCATCCACACAGCAGGAAGAGGAGCCAAACAAAAGGGAAGAACAGAGAAGAGGACTGTTTCACCGTTCGTACAGACCCATGACCGGTGGAAATTGTTGGCCATCAATCCGGGAGCTGCCCAAACCAGAAAATACATGTGACCGTTAATATCGAGGGGGTGCCATGCAGAATGGAGGTAGACACAGGGTCAGCCACAACCATCATATCGCAAGCAACACTAGAGGAGATCATGGACAAGAAGAAGAAGCAGACAATCAAGCCCAGCTGCGTAAGACTCCGGGACTACCAGGGAAACAACATTCACATCACAGGCAGTGGCCAGTTCTTTGTAAAGAATGGACAGTTTGCTGGATACCTACCGTTAGTCATAACCAAGGGAGCCTTGCCTAGCCTCTTAGGACTGTATTGGTTTGCATCCTTGGGGCTAGGAGTCACGGGTATCCATGCAATGATTACAGAAACGGCTAAGGACTTGAGTGAAGAGTTTGCAGACGTGTTCGATGGCGTATTGGGGGAATACAAAGGCAAGCCAATATCCTTCAGCCTAGACCCACAAATGGCACCCATCAGACTGAAACCTAGACAGGTGCCATTTGCACTGAAGCCCAAGATCGATGAACAACTGGACAGATTAGTCGAGTCCTAGAACCGGTTGATCACGCTCGGTGGGAGATCCCAATCGTCACACCCATGAAGTCCGATGGGTCAATACGAATTTGTGTGGATTACAAGTGCACAATAAACAAGGCACTACAACAGAGCGTGTACCTCGTCCCCGTGGTACAACACCTACTACACTCATTGGAAGGTGGCAAAGTCTTCGCAAAACTCAACCTCGCCCAGGCCTACCAGCAACTCCCCGCAGATGATGAGACAGCTGAGGCCCAGATGATTGTCACACACAGGGGGGCTTTCTGGTGCAAACGACTGCAGTTTGGGGTGAATGTTGCCCCTGGACTTTCCCAGAGTCTGATGAAGAGGATGCTGCACGCGATCCGGGGAGTCATCCTGTATTTTGATGACATCCTGATCTCACCAGCAAACAAACCAGAACTATTTGAATAATTACAGGCAGTACTCAAGAAATTCCAACAGGCAGGGCTCAAGGTAAAAAAAGGAAAAGTGCCTAGTAGCCGTGGACCAGGTAGAATTCCTTGGATACCTCATCGATGCAGCCAGCCTACACCCCACCAAGGAGAAGACTCAGGTGATTAAAACAGCCACAACGCCCACAAATAGGACAGAGCTCCAAGCTTTCCTATGGCTCCTAAACATCTACGGTGTCTTCCTTAAACAAAAAGCATTCATCACAGAACCATTACACAGGCTACTAGACGGGGAAAAAAACATGGGCCTGGGGTCAAAAGGAAGCAATGGCTTTCAAACAACTCCAAAACTTACTCACATCAGACACTGTACTGGTCCAGTACAACGAGACCCTACCGTTAACATTGACACGTGATGCCTCACCGTACAGAGTTGAAGCCATCCTGAGCCACAAATTCCCAGATGGAAAGGAGGCGCCTGTCACATTTTTTTTCGAGAACGCTATCTGAGGCAGAGAGAAATTACAGCCAGCTCGATAAGGAGGTACTAGCTGCTGTTGCAGGGATAAAACAATTCCATGAGTATGTCTACGGGTGAAAATTTGAGCTTATAACAGACCACAAACCACTATTAGGCCTCCTCGCAGGAGACCATCAGACAGTGCAAGTCCTGTCCCCACACATGATCCAGTGGACTGAATTCCTAGTGGCATATCAATATAAGCTCATACACTGCCCAGGCACAAACATAAGCAAAGCAGATGCACTTAGCAGATGCCGATTATCTAAACAAGAGGAAGACCCAGCACCAATTGCAACAGTACTGCTAATTGAGACAGTACAAACAGGGCTGATCAAGGCCACCGAGGTAGCCAGAAAGCCCAAGGAAGACCCCAAAATAACATAGGTACTGAACTGGGTGTGGAGGGGGTGGCCTGAAGATCCAACAAGTACCAGCATTTAGGCCATTCAAAGTGAGGCGACGTGAACTATCTATACAGAAGGGTTGTCTATTGTGGGGGAGTCACATAGTGATACCCCATCAACTAATCGTTGCATCGTTGCTGCAGACACTACATGGAGGCCACCTTGGAATTGTCTGGGCGAAGGTGTTAACGCGGAGTTACCTGTGGTGGCCATCCCTGGACAAAGACATCAAACAGTGGGTGGCCTGCTGTAAGCCCTGCCAAGAGACGCAGCCGTCACAACGCAGCTGTTCGCAACTCATGGCCTGCCAGATGTGTTGGCCTCTGACAACAGGCCACATTTCACGGGTAGGCCATTCCTGGCAAACAGAGGCATCTGCCACGCACTGACTGCTCCATTTCACCCCACCGGAAATGGGCAAGTAGGGAGGATGGTGCGCATGACAAAGGAGGCCCTCACCAGCATGGGGCAAGGAAATATACAAGAAAAGCTAGAGAGATACTTATTGACCCAGCATGTCACCCCATGTATGGCTACGGGCAGGAGCCCAGCAGAGCTGTTAATACAGAGGAGACTGAGAACACAGCTGGATAGAGTACACCCCTACTACAGGACAGACACACAACAAAGAGAGGATGACAAAGTCAGAAGATTCCAGCAAGGTGAAAGGGTGTACGCAAGGAATTATGTCGGATACGTGGCTACATACTGGAAATCATGGGGCCCCGGTCATATTGTGTGGAACTCGGCAACGGTAAGGTGTGGAGCAGACACATTGACCAGCTGCAGAGAGACCGTCAATGACAGACCAAGAGAGAGTCGGAGGACACTGAACCACAGGTGGATGAGGAGACTTACCTGGGAAGGCGATCGCAGCGCCCGAGATGATACATGTCGTGAACACCCCAATCCTGAAATACATCCAACAATCCTGAAACAAGACAAGGCGACACAGATATGAGTAATGAGCAACCCAGGATCCTGGAGGATTGAAAGTCGACTCGGAACCGGAAACGATCAGCATACTTAAAGGACTATGATTGTAGCTTAATAAATATTAGTTAAAGTTAAAAGGATTAATAATTAAAGTTTGATAAGCATTAAAGTTCCAACTGGATGGTGAGGGGTGTTGTGTCCGTGCAGCCATGGACACATAATAACCCACCGCGACTAGCGCAGGAAATCACAATGATCCAATTGGCTAACGGCACAGCAGGCAACCCCTATATCAGGGTACCCACCAGCCATTAGCATTGTTGCAGTTTGAGTTGGCGTTTTTACTACCAGTAAACCTTTTATGGCAGATCCTTTGGCTCTAGTGCGTTATTCCAGCGATATAACAGAGGAAGAAAAGGTCTGTGGGATCCTTGGTCCTTCTGAGCTGGGTGGTTTTCTTGCAGATATTTCATTACCAAACTAGGTAGCATCATCCATGCTGGACAGTCTCAAAGTTTTCAAAGTATTCAAAGAACCCAATTAATTAACCCTGGGGAGGTATTTGGGGGGTTATTTCAGTGATCCTAACCTTGAGATCCTCTCCTCGGATTGACGGTGCCCCTCTTTGCTTCAGCACAGCCCTGATGGTCGCTTGTGAGAACGGCAGCGTGGAGACCGTTGAAGCGCTTATCCACGGCGGGGCACGGGTCGGCCTGATCGATGCCACGGGACGTGATGCCGCACACTACGGAGCTGCCACGGGCAATGCCCTCATTCAACATTATCTCCAAGAGGGTGCCCAGCGCCACTCTTGGGCCAGCGGTAAGACCCCCCGTCCTCCTTCCCGGGTGCTAGTCCTGTTGAAGGAAGAGGGTTTACTGGATTCCTGAAGGAATTGGTCCTGAATTGGCCTGGAAGAAACTCACAATGTCCTTCAGCTGGATCGAAGGTGGGCTTTCTCCCCTTGAGTTGACCACTTGGAGGACTTTCCACATCCAAGGTCCTTGACGCTCGACGAGCTTGTTTGGTTTCTTGCGGATGTTTCATGACCCAGCTAGGTAACTTCCTCAGTGCAAGGGTGTATCTGTGCATTTCGGTCATGAAACGTCCGCAAGAAAAACCACCAAGGACCTCATATTTCAACCCTGAGCTGCAAAGATTCTCCTCCATTGATACTACAGGTAGTCCTCGACTTACAACAGTTCATTTAGCGACCGTTCAAAGTTACAACGGCACGGAAAAATAGCGACTCGAGACTGTTTTTCACACCAGTCACGACCATTGCAGCATCCCCAGGGTCACGTGATCAAAATCCAGACGTTTGGCTGCTGACTCCCATTGATGACGGGTCGCGGTGCCCCAGGGTCGCGGGATCCCCCTTATGCAACCTTCCCACAAGCAAAGTCAACGAAGAAGCCAAATTCACTTAACAACCGTGTGACTAATTTAACCACTGCGGTGATTCCCTTCACGACTGCGGCAAGGAAGGTCATGAAACGGGGCACACAACTCCCATAACCGCTCTCTCCCGTAGCAATAGACATTTTGGGGTCGATTGTGGTTGTAAGTCGAGGACTATCTGCGTGGCTGCCAGGTCTGCTGTCTTCTCCTCTTTGGCTCCTCCCCGGGTTTCCAGGCCCTCCCCCGCCTGGCAGCTGGAATAAACATTTGAATATGTTCGTATCCTAAGGGGCTTCATGTCCGGAGACCCCCGACAGACCTCCAAGCAGTTGTGGGTCTCTAAAACAGCCCCCCCCTCTCCCTAGCTGAGCCATCCGGCGTTTTTGTGGCAGTTTCGTCGGGGCCCTGAGTCTGTGGGAAGGACCCCCGTGGGCGCTCAACCCCCCCCCCCACGGGAGGAGGGGTCCTTGCCAGCTGTTCTCCCTGCAACCTTGAAACATCCCTCTGATACTTTTCGTTTTGGTTTTTTTTGCAGAGGAACAATCACCTGATCTGTCCTCTCAGGTAAAATCTGTTCCGTTCCGAAAAGGGCTCATGGGCAGCCGCCGCCGGAGGGAGATCAACCGTTAACACTCCCCCTCCCCCCCGCCTCCTTCTGCTTCTCTCTCCCCCCTTTCTCCTTCTCATTTGCCCTCTCTCCCTCCCTCCCCTCCCTTCTCTCTCATTCTCCTCCTCCCTCCATCTCCCTTTCTCCTCCCTCCCCTTTCTCCTCTTCCTCCCTCCCTCCCCTTCCCTTTCTTTCTCCCTCTCCCCACTCCTTCCCCGCTCCTCCCTCTCTCCCTTCTTTCTCTCTCCCTGACTCCCCTCCCTTCTCTTTCTCCCTCTCCCCATCCCCTTTTTCCTTCCTCCTTCCTTTCTCCTCTCCATCCCTCCCCTCTCTTCTCTCTTATTCTCCCCCTCCCTTTCTCCTCCCTCCCCCTTTCTCCTCTCCCTCCCTCCCCTCCCTTCCCTTTCTCCCTCTCCCTTCCTCCCCCTTTTTCCTCCCTCCTTCCTTTCTCCTCTCCATCCCTCCCCTCCCTTCTCTCCCATTCTCCCCCTCCCTCCCTCTCCCATTCTCCTCCCTCCCCCTTTCTCCTC